CCTTTTTCCGATGTTATAATTATACGACGTGCTAAGAGATCGTTGGAAGGGGAACTCTGGAAAGAGAAATAACAGCGTTTCACCCCATCTCGCCTTTTCCTCTTGTCTTACGCATTCGAATTTTAATTTTTAATTTGCAGTTTCAACAAGAAATAAATAAGCCGGCAGTAACGTACAGGTCAATAATGAGCACTGAAGGCTATTGGATTCGATACCTTGAACCAGAACACACTATTCCCTTTTAATAAAAACAGGAGTGACAAGGTCGTGAAAACTTGTCATCATGTAATTTGCTCCCCTCCCAAAAAAAAAAAAGAAAAGAAAATACAAGACAGTGATACTATTTAGTACATCCAGACTAAGTTTTCAGAAAGACGTAGAAGAACTTTTTTTAATGACAAAATTGAAGGCTGATAAAGAAGTAATAGTTGACAGAACAAGACTTGAAAAATGATTAGTTTAATCTGAAAGATAGCTTTGTTATTAAGAAATTTGTAAGGAAAGTGCAAATATATATTAGGAGTGGGTGTCTAGTTTTGCGATTACTTTGAAGCTATTACCTTAGAAGTAAAAAGCGCATGCCAATACTGTTGACAGTTCGCAATGATAGCTTTCTCCTTCTTCATTATGGTGTTAGTCAGTTGAAAATTGCAATTTGGGAAAAAAGTTACCATCAGAAAAGTGTAATAGTAATGAGAAATTAATCACGCAACATAAAGATTACAGCAGCATGAAAATAAGAGGTACTTCATGTGCTGAAGAACTCTGAGAACAGCTGCAAAAACTTTTTTGAAGTTTTAAAAAGCTGAAGAATGCCAAGCATCGAGAACTCTTCCTTTCGACTAAGAGATTATAATCAGATTGGTGGTTCGATAACATTGGAGATTTCTGGTCAAATTCAGCTGTTCAATTTAAACTTATTAGATAACTATGAAATATAAACATCAAAACATGCATGAAAATAGAGGGCAATTCACATCATTCAAATTTTTGATGTGAAAACTAGAAAAGTGTTCAAATTTGGTGTGAAAACTAGAAAAATTGAAGAATTTTATATGATTTAGATTTGTTTGTTTCAAAATCTTTATTCATGTTTTAGCAAGTAATTAAAACCGAAAAATGCGGTCATTTGAGCCCGAAATTGAACAGAAAACTTCTCATGGCATCCGGGAATTCGGACTGACAACAATCAATAATGAAATTATGGGATTCACCACTGAATTCTAGACTTATTAGATAACTATGAAATATGAACATCAGAATATGAAGAGAAGTATTTAATGTGCCATAATTTCCATTAATTTGGAAAAGAGAAAAATGCTTGATTGCCGCCGTTAGTGCATTCTGAATGGGTTGGTTGAAATGGAGATATGAAAGGTGACACTAATTTTTCGAGTGAAATTAACATATTTTCAAAATGGTCCTTCCGGTCTTATTACAAATCGCAATTTTTCACCCAAGCTTATTACCTTCCCAGTTTAAGAACATTAGTTGTACAATAAGTTTGTTACCGCTTGGACTTTTGAAAACTTAAATAAATATTAATATGTGCTAATAATATCGCATCAATGAACCGACATATTAGCACCAAAGCTCATCAACTTGATCAGAATAAATATTATATCAAACCAGATTGAGGATTTTACAACGACATTTTTGGAGATTGATTACAATCGGAAGAGTTAATTATTATTTGCATTAAAAAAATAAAATGTAGCGAACTTCGCCAACAATACTTCCATTAGGAAGTAAAACTAGTTTGATTTTCCAAACAGATGTTGACTAGAGAGAAGTGAATAAGAGAGTGACTCACTCTTTTCATTTCTCTTTTTTAGTGACAGAAAAGCAGGGGATGTTAACAATCTTCCTTAACTCAATTACATCAATATTCCATTCATCCATGGATAGTCATCTATCTTCAATTTTATCGATCCAACTACTATATTATTCGAATAGACGTTAGAGAGCCTGGTGAATTCGTAACAACAGCTAACAACAACAGCATTGACAGTATCTGTTCACTACATCAATCAATAATGATAATAAACATTCTCTTTGCAAACTTTAATTAATCAGACACCACTCTTGAATAAAGACTATTTAACAATAATTCATTGCTAATAAAAAGTTACATAGATAATCGAAACCTTATCTTTGCTATTAATCGAATAACTGAACGGTGAATGAACAGTATTGAACGAACACTCATGATGATCATTCAGCACTTACCATGATTCCTCTTTCTGAATCAGTGTGACTAAAATTTAAACTTTTCAAATTTAAATATTTCGATAGCTCGGTTTTTAGTATTGTAGAAAAGACATTAATCCAAAGTAGAGTCGCCACTGGCATTTCACAATCTAATTTCATTAGCACTGTCTGTTCGTTGAAACTTAATTATGATCATAATTTAAAGCTTATTTATCCATTCATCTGATCATATTTTATTTTTTCCATCCCTTTACTATTTTTTCCCAATATCTTTTACCACTAATATTCAGAGTGTTGTGATCTCATAAAAGACCTACACTTTCAATGAGAAAATTTTCGAAGTCTTACCCATCGTTTTATATCTATAAATAAGTGCTACAACATATCGAAATGAAAAATGATACCAAAATACATCATTGCTCATGAAACAATTTCATTACTACTGCTGAATTGGATTTTCCTCAGCAGTATAGGGAAATTAAGCTTCCCAACGCTTGCATGAGGAAAATGGAGTTTTCGCTGATAAAACTGATGCGGAATGCGAATGCGAACTGATACGAATTGAGCAAAAAAAAGCACTCTACCTCTTTTATATATCTTGAGAAAAAAAAACTTTTGACGGCAAGATACTATTCTGATCAGTAATCAGTTGAGAATGTAGAACAGTCATTTTCAACATTAGTCTACCAACAAAATGATCTGATATCATAGCAGTGAGCACCAGATGAAAACTTATCTCCGACAATACTGTTTTTCATATTTTACATCAAATTAAAACCAGCTAAATTCTCCATCAAAGTTTCCTATTATTTCGAATAAGGAAAATATTGAAAAAATGATTGCCCAAAAAACTTTTTAATGCACAAGCTACACAGACTTACCGAGGGAGGTAAAGAACACAGACAACTTAATACATGCAAACACTTGACAAGTCAAAAGTTTGTTAGTACATTTAATTGATAATAAATGTAATGTAGTTGTATATGTACACGTGTAAACTGAAATTCAAAAAACATGAAACTATTACTGCAATCGAGGTTAAAAAAATAGCAGCAAAGAACCAACACATTACTAGATCTAGGAAGTCTGTTTTTTTTTTTCAGGAAAGTTTAGAAATGAAAAAAAAAAAAAAAGAAAACGCAAAGAAAAAACAGAGCGTAATGATATTCAAACGGAAACATGAACATTCTAATAACCGAATCATAAAACCATTATCTGTTACAGTCAGCCGATGAAAAGATTCCGTGATAACAGAAACTAAATGCATGAAAAAAAAGTATATACAAACTGCGAGGAGGTCAAAATTCACAATAAATTAAAGATTAGCTTGAGATGTAACTCAAAACTATGAAAATGCCTCGGAAAACTATTCCACCCTATGAAATATAACTAATTTTAAATAAATATAGGGTGAACTTATATTCAGTTTAAACATATATTGCTAACAAGACTGCTTTCTGACAGAACAGAAAATCTGACACAAGACTATGACATTTTAAAACGTGGCAGCAAGGGACGCAATTCACACACACCATGTATTACATTTAAGTGTGTGGAAGTATTATAACCAAAACGAAAACTTATTGAGTCTCATCACCAACGTAAACCAACAAAAACATTCAGTCATCATTTTAGAGAGAACAATCGGATTACTTTTAACACTTGAATAATCGTTTTGGTTATAATACTTTTGGTATTAATCTACGAATTCAAGAACTACTTGACCATCACTCATTAAAAAAAGCCTACTATAAAAGAAGTAACCGTCATTTCCATCCACTGCAACAAAAAATAAGCGGATATAGATGTCTTTTTAAGGCTACAAAATCAAAAATATATATAAATGAACATATTAAACTATTAAACAAGGGTGCAGACATGAGAGGATGCTGAAAGACACCCCTAGTCTGCGAAATCGAAGCCAAATATATGGACGACTTCACCCATTCCTTTTGTTTTACTTTCACGAAAAATAAGAGGTGTTCCAACGCGCACATATTCAGGGCAGCTATAGAATTCGAACTGAGCAGTAACCCATTGACAAGGCACTATCGATGGGGCATCCAGTTTCGTTATTGTAGCCGTTTGACACACTGAACCAATATAAACTGTAACGAAAAACCTATTATAGAGGTTCTTGTACTTCACCATCCTGTTAATTTCTTTGTGATAAGACACGAACTTACTAGTGCACAACACTAAAATTTCGAATAAAATAAGAGCATTATTCAATACTATTGTGAAAACTATTTCAACACAACTACCGAAATAAATTTAAACAGATTTCAGATCTGGATTACAATAGTTTCTAAAACCTAACCTGTTCCTTGAAAGCCCACACATATTTCAGTTGCAGGATGATACAACAAATAAAGACGAGCCGTGAAACGTCGGCAAGCTATCCCTTCATCTTTAGCATTTAACAAAACCATACCCTTTAAAAAATCAATCTTCGACAAATCTTATAAAGTTTAGTAAACAGCAGCGCTTATGTGCCACTTCCAGAAGTTTGCCGGCTGTGATCAGAAAATGCATTTGCACATACAAAAATATTCACTGCGAAATCACCAGCCCTATCTGTTTTCTTTATATTGCTAGTCAATCGTCAAAATTACTCCTATAACTTCAACATGCAATATGCAAATATGCATCGCCTTAATTCCTTTATTTATAAGATTACTCTAGATATTCCATCCATATTTATTGTGTGGTACTTATGCTATCATCGGTGACTGAACCGAAGATCTAGAAACTTACAAAGATTTAAACATAATATTGAAGAGACTTTTTCGCATGCCAAACTTTTCAAATGTTTTCATACTTCTTCCGACTGATGAATAACCAAGACTTCAAGTTTCGAAAAAGAATTTAATGTCACAGTGACGAAGTACTTGTAAACAGAGAAGGTAAAGAAATAGGTATCATTGATTATTTCTACAAACCTCTATGAGACGATGAAATAGAAAAAGCTTACCCTTCGTATATTTGGAATACAAATTTCGTCAAGAGCTAAGGCCATAGAAGCAGCCTCACCAGATCGTACGAAACGTACCGGTTGCTTGTTTCGCCGTATACTTTCAATTTTCCCAATATGATAATTACCATCCTTGAACGGACCGATTTGTATTGCGTCTTTTTCTCTTAATATCCCTTCCGTTAAAACGCCGCATACAACAACATTCACCTTAAACTTAGTTCGTAACATCATACAGAACCTTCTAAGCAGTTGATCAAAATAAAGAAAATCAAATGTTACTTCAAACAAAAAAAAAATTTGTTTGAAAAAATAACCTGTGGAACACGGTAAACTTCCTCTATTGAAAAGAGTAAAGCACTTAACGATATTTCGTCTTGTTTTAATTTCGAAAAGCTACTGGAAGGCAATACATTCAAGAACTTTTTTAGAAGATGGAGGTTAAGACCCGATACATTTGATATAAGGAAAACTGGTACCACATTTTTGCTTAACACTGCAGTGGCGCAGCTGAAAAATACAAACAATCAACTGCAAAATCTAAAATTCTATGGTAATTACTAAATTAATAAAAAATGGACTACAAAAAAAAGAAAAAAGCATGCTTTCCCATTAATGATGAACTTCAACCGCAGAAAAACTTATCATACAGCTGCGTCAGAACTTTCGATCCGTTTTGGAATGCATTCCATACCTGGTCGCTTCAATAGCATATTTATGCTTTGAAGAACTCTACAATCATCTTCTTTCTGTTTGGAACATGAGAGTAACTTCACGAATATTTTTAAAAAGGGATGGCGATACTCAATTTTTCAAAGGAGAAGTTAGAGCTAGAAGGCTGCACTGAGATTGAGAAAGAATTTAAAGTAGTCAACCAGTTCCTTTAACACGTTCATAACATTGTCTTCAATAATCATGAAGTATTGCTTTCGTTCAACAAATCATCCAGCAATGTAGCCATTAAATGAGAGTTTCTTTCTAATACCAAATCATTTGTTTGGATCTACAGAAGATCTACAGAACGGTAATGCACTCACTTTTCACGTGCAGTCGTAGTTACAGCATCAACTTTAGTGACAATAACGAAAACTGGTATATTAAGAGCAACAGAAAGACCCAGATGTTCACGCGTAATTGACGTTGGACCCGTTACAGCACTAACAACTAATGCCGCGAAATGTGGCAGATATCCTGAAAAACAGTAGAAGAATACAGAAAATGAAAAAGGATGAGAAGTGCAGAAAAATATCAACAGATTCTTTCATTGCTATTACCTGTAAGCCCATATATGGTTGTTTTGAGATATTTGCGATCGCCAGCCAAATCAATTAATGTTATTAACTTTGTTGACTGCTCTGCAATTTCTTCCAGTGAATGTTCCGAATAATTGATCAACTAAAAACAGATACGACAGATTAAAGTAATATTTCCGCACAGGCACAACAAAATTCTCCTCTGCCAAAAAACAAAAAATCTAAAGCAATCAACAACAAAAATCTGAAGCAAACCTTGAACAAATATTAACCAATATTAAACCAAACCTCTCCTTGTGAGTCAAAACCAATCATATCCAAACAAATTGAGCTGGTTCTACCAGTTTGGAATTCGTGCAAATAACGAAATAGATTCAATCGAGCCTAAAAATGCCGTTAAGCTATTTTCCAAAGCATAATCTTTTGATGTGATGTTGTGGAATGAGGAAATGAACTACCTTCCCATGGCCATTATCAAGATGACCTTGAGTTAGTACACCACACAATGTTGACTTCCCAGCATTTGCACTGCCCAGAATAGCTATCCTGAATCATTTTACAATGACAGTAATAACAACAGCCAAATTAAATTATTTAACTGACAGGAGTAACGAATTTATCTTGAACTTTCCAAATACACGGAGAATATATTATGTTACCTGAGTCCAATGAACTGCTGATTATCGGGGATTTTCCGTATCAGCAATTCAACGACTCGTCGACGACAGGATGTAACGCTTTTCGGTGTGACATCACGTTCACGTAGCTATAAAATAGAGGTAACTAATCAATTTATATAGCTAAATATAGATAGAATTATATTAGCCAAGAACAACAAAATCAACGATAATTATTTCGGAATCAGTCAATCAAAACTGCTACCTAGAAGAATTTTGCACATGAAGCGATGTTCGTTCATCATTAAAATTCCTGCCAACATAAGAATTAAATAAAAGGATGCGTAATACTTCTGCATTCTTCACACTCCCTTTTACAAATTAAGTGGGAATGTAAAGAACTCACATTAATATAAATTTCTTCACTAAAGGAAATACGCCGACAGCTAATAACAGCAAACTATTGTATTTCCTGTTTTCATTTTATAAAATCACTAAAAATATCAATTACACATCATATCTATACGAATAATTTTCTCAGTTCAGAATTCATTCCTGACGGCTAATTTTAGTAAATGCCTTTCTTTTCAATTAACATGGAGAATTCCCGGAAGTTTTTACTTATGTTACGACCGAAATATCAACGTATTATTACGTCCTAATATTGCCGTTTTCAGACCTTTCAAACTAATGATGTGAACCTCATAGCAAGCAAAATAAATGATATGAAGATAACTTTGATAACTTACCACCACAACACTTGCATTCAAAGCAGCAGCCATAGATTTGAGTGTTCTCACTGATGCATCCAGTTCTTTATCGGTTAGACCTTTTATCGTACCATCGTCTTGCACACCGATTTCATAGATTGCCTCACCCTGACCTTCTCGTAGACGCCATTTCATTTGTGTTATCAGATGCTGCATTCGACTTAAAGACGGATTGACAAGTTTTACCTGCATAAATGGGCATTGGAACAAGAAAAAAACTGTTTACATTGTTCTGACTTTTAAATGTACTTATTTACCTTTACTTTGAAAACAAAAATTTCAATTCAGTTTTCAACAATAATAATTTTGCTGACATCTGAATCAAGAAAATATATTTTAAACCACATGCTCAATCATAGATTTACCTTATATTCAATATTCCCTTCCTCAACTTCTGGTGGCAGGGAATTTTCAAAATTTTTAAAAATGTCTATTAAAGACGGTGCATTAATGCTATCAGCCATCCTTTCCACGCTTTGTTTCCTGTCTACCAGTTCTAAAACAATAAATATTACATCGAATCCTTAAAAGCATGAAAATCCTGACTATTTCTATCATAATATTAATGGAAAAGGTTGTTTTACCACACGAAATTATAAAATGAATCTTCAATTTTACCTCATTAATAATCTGTCATTCTGAATAATACTTATCGGGAAAGCTCTCGCGTAAGTCAACAGCTTAAGAATTATAAATAGAGAAATAAATGAAGGAATAGAGAATTTAAGGATTATAAATACAGATCTACGAAATGCTTACTTTCGCGGCTCAAATATTCGGTTGCAAAATCCAATATCATAAAGTTCATTGCATTTTCTTATTGACATTTCCCTGTCGCACGGAATACCGTTGTACACTTTACATCCTTTTTGGTGTAACACTGCGACTCTCGAATAAATGATATTATTAATGGTAGACAAGAAAACAGACAAAGAAAGGTTGCATTGAATACAAACAACCCGTGTTCCATTCAACTTAGATCATATCATAGGCAGCAGTCATGTTGATCACAACTCAATGACGTGCTTAAAAGGAAGTAAAATGAATGCATACAACTGGTTAGCAGGAAGAGAACCATCACATAAAAGCACGAAATTATTGCACAAAGAGAGTAAAGGGTTCACTTGGTTAAGGCTTAATTCCGATCATCAATTTGAAAAAAAACATTTGTGTATTTTTAAATACGCATTAGGAATGGAAGAAATTCGATTTTCACAACTATTTTATTTCCATGCAAGCCAGCTAATCCATGACAAAATTTATACCAATGTTCCTATACTATCCAAATTTATTCATATATCAGAATTTACACACATATGACGGGAACTACATCTCCTATCACTCCCAAACACTGCATGTAGATTTGTAGAATTAACGTAAAGGAAAAAACGTAGTACTTCGGAATGCAGCAAAGAGAAGGATTCGACAAAAAGTATTAATCACCTAATTGAAAATGAGAGAGAGAGAGAATGCTTGGAAGATTGATAATTTGGATAATCCACGTGATAGATCTTAATCTAACCAGGATATGTTATGAATACAAGTTAACTCAATGAGGATAACAGAACAGAGTGAATTTTTGAACATTTTTATTCAAAACAATTTTATTCAGATACCAATGGACAAGTACAAACATCAATATAAAAGGACCTTTTAACTCAACAGAAAAAAGAACAGAGTTGCCACGCTTCATATCATATCTTTACTCTCGCTTTTGTCTACAACCCGGTCTAACACACCACTTCATACAACGACTCGAATAATTCGGGATCTCTTTTCTCCTGCTTCTCATATTTCCCCTCCATCTCTGTTCTCTCCTCAACAGCTGCGTACTCTTGCTTCAATTTAATTACTGCAATAGCATTGTTGCTGCTTCCCGCTATTCGATCATTTTCACAACTTCTTCCATTCTATCTACAGTTCCCTTTACATGTCTCTCGATCCATTTCCGACCTCCTCAATTCCCGATATCCCATGTAAGCGTCCGCTTCTAAGTAACCTCAGGAAGTTCGTACATATATGTGTGGTATTAGTATTATTCTTGCCAGTTTAAATTTCATTCCAAATTGCTGCTGTATTCAGTCGAACTACAAAAATAACACCACGGTATTAGTTATGCATCAATGTCCTGCTCATCGGTCTTCTGTGGAAGACTTTTTATTGTAGAGAATGATTTCGGTATGCGGATCAGAATGTCTCGTGGAGAGATGGTAACTGCTAATCCGGAATCCGTGCTGCTGAATCCCCGCTTTTGCTTAAAGCAGCGATATCGATTGAGAACCTATTGGTGGAATGATTCAATTGATTGTCAGGTGAAAGCTCTTTTCTTCCGGAAATTTCCCGTAGAACACTTTTAACTTCTCGAGTAATAAACGTTTCCAAATAATAATCTCTTCTTTCGACTGTCCGTTTTTCTCAATTTCATTGCCTTTATAGATGACTCTTTATACCTTATTCCCTTTCCTTTTCTAATGTCCCATTATCATTAGAGAGAGGGCAAGATACATCACTCCGTAAGAATTCAAATTATACAATGCCTTCTCGCTTTTAAATGTAGAGATGAAAGGAATTTCCTGTGGAAACATATGAAAATAAGTTAAGTTACAAAAAAAGTTGAGTCACCAACAACTGAAACTCCGCTTCTCTTTGTTCAACCCGAAAATACTGAGGCGAAAATGTACCATAACCTGGTGGCCTTGTCTTCAAGTTCTTTGATCGAAAGAAAGGCTTACGATATTTCGACGTTTGAGACAGAATCAGTCAGGGAAGTATCTCAGAACACAAGCTAGGCCCTCCTCTCCTCGATGAACGTCACTGACAGAAAGTGTTTACAATAAGTTCACGGATATAGTCGTGGAATTCATAATGAACTCTTGTGACGCTGCAGATCACTGGAATTGTTAACGATTACAATGGAATTGTTAGCGATTACAATGGACCAAATTATTAAAAAAAAAAAAAATGAGTTGTAAATTTTCGTTGCACAGTCATTATAAATCGTGGCAAAGGAATGTCACAGCTTGTAACTGAATATATGTATGGCGGAATTCCATGCTTCCAATTATTATGAAGTTCCGACATATTTAAAATAAGTTGTATGTTAATGGATAATGAACCGGTAGAGCCAGGTAATTAACAACATGGTTATAATACTGAAAGGGATGCGTCATTCAGAAATGATCATTAAGACATATGCAAGTAAATAAACGAACAAAAGATGAGCTAACTGGTATATTTCAAGAAAGTAAAAGAAGGCAAGAACTCCAGTAATCACTATTGCAAAAATCATTTCTGTGAACACAACCAACATGCGACAACTATCAGCCATAATCCCTCCCAAGATAAATGACGTGATTCATACAACTGTCACAGTTTTACTGATTCAGGGCACAGTCAAACACACAATGAAACGATGAGTGAAATTAAGTGGGGCTTACAACAGGGCAAATAGATGATAATAAATAGACAATGTGCAACGACATTTGCAACGTTTATATCCCACTTGGCTCCATATCACCTGGATCCTGATGCTTCAACTTTATGCTCGTGAGATTTTGAAGCACCTTGTATGAGCACCTGTAACAGACGTCTTTTGGATAAATTTAAAACCAAATTCGTAGAATCAAGATGAGCATGTGAGGTTAAGGAACGAAAAGATGAGAGAAAATGGCTCGTTGATAATATCAGTGTCTTCATTAAATTACCTAACGTCTTCATTGAGTATTTTAAAAAAAAATGCGCCTGATACAGGTGGCACTGTCTTCAAATCGGTAGAATTGGTAGACTGGTAGCACCATTGCAAATTAAGTTAATTTCCATCAAAATATATGATATAAATGATTAAAAACAATAATTCTTCAAAGTGTATTGCAATTTTAGGCCGCATAACACAGTCTGAGGCGGGGGCGATTGCTTTCCATAAGGTTTTGCAGGTGATGATTACTTTGAGCTTTTGATCCTCAATAATTTGGAAAAAAAAATCGTTAAGTAAATCGCATAAGTTTAAAATACTGTGCACAGGCTTGCGAGAAACAAGAGTCAAATTTTATTAAAAGGATATAAATCGCAGCAATTTTTATCAGCTTTGATCTGCCTATTAAAAGTTTACGGTCATAACAATATCAATGTTATCTGATGCCATCTTTTTATCACTTGATTTTTGTTTACACGGAAAGAATCCTCCAGTAAGCAACAAGATGATTCTTAATAAAATTACAAGTTCCAGTTTCTGAGACAACAAACTGACATGTGGAAGAGGTTGCGCAACAGTGATCTTCACAATTATTCTGTTTCTACACATCTTTTACTGTTTTAAATTCCTCGTTCACTCTATATTTTTGATGTTAAAAAGATAAGTGAGATCTATATTTGGTATATTATATAGGATATTTGAAGACAAACCATCGGTTACATATATTAAGTAGAAGGAAGGAGGAAATGTTAGGTTTAAAGGTAAATGAACCATAAGAAATGGAGAGTAATTACCAAGAAAAGCGCAATAGCTTAGGCTTGCAACAATTAGGCTAATTCTTTATCCTATCAATTAACTTAACGATTACTTTATTCCTTAAAATTGGAGTTCCATAACTAAGAAAAAGAGTAGTGTCGCCCACCAAATAAAAGATCCAACAAATATGTCACAATTATTAAGTTTCCAATGTACATTATTTCAGCGAGTGAACCTCCCTGACAGACAAAATAGGTAAATTCTCCGGTTTCATGAGTGGCGGTATCACAAGCTAGCAACCTGAAATAGCCAAGATCAACAGATTAATGATTTAAAATTTCTGAGCAATTCATTCAGTTATCATTTCAAACCTACTATTAATCCTCGTCTCATTCCTACAGGTTCGTTCCACCATGCAGAAACCTGGATCATCATCAGTAGTACAGGTACAAGTTGATACCATCACTCACAAAATGATTTTAGCGCAAAGGGGATGATGCTAAGCGATGGCACTCAACTGGTCCTTTATGAATGAATTAAAGTCTCTCTTTTGTGAAGGCCAAATACGTTAAAATTAGTTTTATCACGCTAACATTGTCAATTTCATTCATGGGACTTCAATTCATTTATATGAGCAATTACTCACCAACTCATTTCTAAACACAACTTGACTACAGAAATGCTTGTTGTCAAACAGGTTGACAATACCATGTAAAGTGACGCATCAGTACTGCTCAGTTTTTTTTCCCCCCCTTTTCACCTCAAAAATCGAAGTTGCATCTACTCGGAGGAACCGGACTTTAATGAGAGAGAATCCTCTTGCCTTTACCATTTTCCTCTCTTACATCCTTTTAAACAAAGTCCAATCGTAGAGGCGCCAATGGTACGCGTCACAGAACTGGATGAAAACAAGTCACACGGAAAGATGAACGTGCGACAAATCGTCGCCATTGTGAAATATCAAACGGAATATATGAGGTAACAATCCGATATCGAATCGATGTGAACATTTCTCTTTACATTGCTCTTATCTCCCTTATCACATCTCCTGTCAGTGCTGTTAAAGAGAAATCTTTCTTATCGGGATCAAAGGACATGCCCCTGCGAGACATTTTGTTTGCATAATGTTCAATCCGAACCTTATTAAGATCAGTTTTCACATGCGTATTGTTCGTTGTGTAGTTCATTAGAGTTTGGGTTGTACGTGGTGGGGGATGTGAGTTGTGGAGTGCGGGGTGCGGACTGTAGGGTGCGGGGTGCGGGCTGCGGGCTGTAGGGTGCGGGGTGCGACGTGTCCATCTTCGAATTCCTTCCTTTCCATTATCTTGAATAGATCACCAGTCTTTCCCATTTAACAGCCGAATTTCTCATATTTGTATTTGGTGTTAAGTTGGAATGCAATTATATTTGTATTAGTGGTTCCACTTGTCATAGTTGTGGTAATCTAATCACTCAGCCATTTTAAACAAGCCAGGCTCACAACATTTTAAGTGATATATCTTTTTTAATGCTGAAATGCTTGTTCTACTTTTACTCCCATATATTACTTGGCAGTAAATGATTCCTGTGAGTTACTGAGTGCTATCTGGTTCTCCTTCTTTCCCTCCATAGACGACCTGATAGTTTTATCATTTTTCAGCACTGCGGATAGAAAATGGTATAATATAAGATTCCTTCGGCTTGAGTTGCTTATTTGATTTTGATTTTATGAAGTGCATGTAAAAGGAAGTTTATGTGAAAAGTTTTTTGAATATTTATTTTAATAATTTATTGAAATAATTTTACTTGCGACACGTATAGAATATTCTTACCATTTAGAAACAAAATTAAGCATCTCCCATAACGTAATTTTACGCTGGTTCCTTGCGAAAAATCAGTTTCACATTTATGATTCACATTTCCTGGGTACAATCATGATAATTATTTCCTTCTGATCTGGGATATCACAGGGTTGCATCTTGATAATTAGATTTTATTCAAATAAATAGCTGTATTATTTGGACGTCCTAATAATCCATTTAATAAATGTGTGGTAAAGTTCATCTGCATAATAAAATAGGATACTAATAGATACTTTTTTAGATTTAGTGACAGTACGAAGTTTCCTATTTCAGAGTGGTGGGAACTTATTACTAGTGTATCAAGCAGCATCCACTGGAAATTGGTCGGAAAGCATATTTTGCAATGATTTTCCTTTTTTTTTGACTTCTAAACAAAATTTATTCCAGTGCGAGAGAGGGAAGGAAACAGTTAACATAACGCTTTGCTAATGATCTGCTTTCATAATTTCATTCATCTGTTCGTTCATCTCAATGACTAATAAATAATGCGCAGGGAATTTTCGCTTGCATTTACTTCAGCGAGTAATTGATGTTACTTGTATTGTTTCCTACCGCTACTCTATTTTCCTGCCATTTTGAAGAATTTTGTTTTGAAGACTTTTATATAATCATCTTCTACATCATTCACAAGAAGTCTTTTTCCATTGTCATACTTTCTTATGTCTCAAAGAGAGCAATTTTTTCGTATAGAAATCATCATTTTCTTTCATAAAGCGTAGAATTATCTGCCTAGAGGAGTTTGAAATGAAGGTTGAGTCAGTTTTCGGCATTTTTCCAACTGCTGAGATGAATTCAGTCATCGCTGTACAATAAAGAAAACTGAGGTGGAAAACCGGCGAACACTTAGAGAGGTACAAGAACTCTGGTTTAACTGTAAATTGGAGGCTCTAAATTTTTTGCCACCGTTTCATTTTATATAGATGGTTTCAGCATTATAAGTCCATCATTATTTTTTTTCGAAATTTCTACCAACTTGATTAGGATAGTTCGGTTTAATAACTTCATTTATTTCTAATGAGATTTCTGCATGAAATTGCTCTCTACATTCTAAAACTAGCTGAAAGACAAAATTGCGGTGTTGAGAAGCATATTTCGTACCTGTATTTTCTGTAGAAATATTCAGGAGATGAAGCATATACTTTTTACGCTAACCTCTTTTCTCATAATAAGTTCACATGAATTATATGTAATTCCTAATGGTCTTTTTCGTACAAATATTCCTTATCAGTAGTATTTATTAGCCTATAAAGAAGTGGTAAACTTCATCTCACTTTTCATAGTGCTTTTTATAGGCATGTATTCTAGTTTACAAAAAATTGATGCTGTACTAATGAATAGAGCCTCAGGAACTCGCCACTAAAAAACTTATTTTTCGAATAAGTACAAGTCGGTGTAATATTTTTTTATGTAGGATGTACTTTTTTCATAAATCACCGAGTGATCCACTCATTCACTAATTATTGAAAAGCGCTATTTGAGGGTTTCAGCTTATTTCCTTTCTTAGACACTTTGTGAGTTTTAAGTAAAATTCAAGTTACGAAATCTGCAGGTGGACAACCAATATTGTTATGGTGACGTTGAGAATTTTCACTTTCTTTTCATGATCTCAAATTTTCGAGAATTTGTTTTTCAGTCTTTGCACATCTGTGTGTTCAGTGGCAACAAAAGTTTTTCAAAAGAACAACCACTATTTTTAGTCATTTTAATTAAACAGAAGAGCCAGAAGGGTAAAAATAATTAGCTGCAAAGCAGGGTCTGTGATGTTGGTGCGCGATGGTTAACATCAGTAGCTCCAGCCTGGCTCAGAGAGATTCTAGTAGTGTTAATACACCAAGAGGAACTGATACAAGTTTGTGTTTTGTATTTATTGTTTTTTCCTTGCATATCATTAAGTGCATTCATACAAATATTTCATGTTAAATTCAGATGTATCTGGTATGCATCTGGGCTGTTAGACAGTTACGATGAGTGCAATCAAATGCAATGTATTTTATGAAAATGAAGTTCATTTCTCGAATTTTTTACACTGTTCACTTTGGTTTACGTTGAAAAAAAAAAAACATTGTTGGGAAAAATATCATTTTATGTTACATAATGTATGTTTTATTATAGACGTGAATGAAGAAATGAGCAATAATGAATATCCTTTGCACGATGTTCAGCAAGATTCAAATGCTTTGGAATGTAAAGGAGACGAACAGGTAGACGTTTGCTGCTTTTAGACGTTTTGGTAGACGTTTTGCGTTCATATTTACTTTGCCGAGTAAAAGAACAAAAACAATAACTGTTTCATGTTTCTACATTTGGAACGAAAATTATTTATTGACTTTAATTTTCGACTTCCGACTTCTTGCTGGTAATCATTCTTTTTTCTGTGCAGTGCATTCAAAGATATACACTTCCGCATGATCATGAAAAGCAACATAACCATAAAGCATTATTTTGACCTCTAAAATGTAGATAACTTTCGGTTGTTATTTATTCAAATGCACAACTCTTTTACAGTTACGAAAAGTGCCATATACAATGCACGGTGTGTTACATTACTTGCAACATGAATGGAGTCGTTATGAAATGGATCGGGCGCAGTGGGAGATGGAAAGAGCTGAATTGCAGGTTTTATTTCTTAAACTCTTAAAAAAGAGCTTCAATTATTATAACAATATGATAATGGTGCTGTAAATCATAGTTTTCATGATTGTTTTTAGGCACGAATAAGCTTCCTTCATGGTGAGCGGAAAGGACAGGAAAACTTAAAGGCCGATCTGATCCGACGCATAAAAATGCTTGAGTACAGTTTAAAACAAGAACGGTCGGACTTTTGCTAACTTTATTATTATTATTCAGTCTTTTTCCTTTTTTATAATTAGATATTTTTTATCCAGATGTTTGTCATGTTTATTAAATTTTAGTGTCCGGTATACAATGCATTATAACCGCTAATTAGAAGAATTGTATATTACATTTTTTAAACCTTAAAGCTTAAATCCTCTTGCTGGAATAAATTAACAAACAAAATTTTCACTTGGACCACAAGAGTTTCAAACCATGAATGACCAAGAGTTGAACTATCAATTTATCGAATATTTTTCTTGATAAGTTTGCATTACATTAATTCATTGTGACGATATATTCTGCTTTAGAGCTAAAAATTATCGCTTAACTCACAATGGTCAAGATAAGCCAGAAGACGAAGTGAGTCCGGATGAAGCGGCAGGTACGTAGTTGTGCCAAGTAAGCTTCAGCAAGGGAACTGATGCGTAAGATGAAAATGTTATAAAATGAAGAATCACAGTTTACTCTTTACGATCTGGTACTTATGATGTATGAATTTCCGAATTTTGCTTTCAGGAGCTGCTGAACAAGTTTCTCTTGACGTAGATGCATACGCTTTGCAGTGTAATAGCGCCTCCAGTTTTCGTAATGCAAGAGCTTTGTTGAGGCAATATCTGCAGGTTGATACCTAAGCATTTGTTCTCTGCAGTTAATGCTTGAGAAGTTCAAGGCAATATCTTGTAAAATTTTGTTCCTGACCGCATTTTAAGATGCATTTTAGGAGATTGGTTATAGTGAGACGATTTTGGATGTTCGGTCTTTTCGGGCCAAAAATTTGTTAGGACTGATGTCCAATTCAGACTGGCAAGCTGACTCTAGCAGGTAATGCTGTGTTTTTTCGCATGCACTATTTATTATTCACAGTGCTACGACATCATGTGCAATAATTATCAAATCCAAAACACTGCAAAGCCACACATAAGCTTCAGCTGGAAGCCTGATTCATGTTGTAGAAACATTGTGAAATTTATGAATCACTGTGTATAAAGTGCGTTTATATAACAGTACCCTAATCAAATATACCCTGATTACTATGAACAAAAGCGCCGAATTCGGGCAGTATAAACAAATTTTGATTTTTTCTTTGTTCTTTTTTTCTGAAATAAACAAATTTTGTTTATTTCAGTGCTTCTCGGCAGAGTGCTGTGAAAGCTCTTCAAGATACTGATCGAGCTGTAATGGAAGCTGCTCAATATCTTCGGGAAAAGAAAAGGGACAATTCTTTACCAACTGGGAGTGACGATAGGTAGTGTTTGCATTTCCCTTGTTTTCAGTTATTACGAATTCTATAGGTATGTATGGTACTAAGGGTATGATTAAATTTTGGCATATTTAAGTTTGATTTCAAAACTAAAAAATATGTTTGAGCACTTATTCTTTCCAACACTTATTCTTACAGCGATTCGGAAGATGATGAGAAGGCAAGAAAAGGGCACAAAAAGGATTCTCTTGGTCCGGAAGTGGTTCAACATGAAGAGTCTGCATTTTTAACAGATGTTATTAAACAAGAGAAACTAAGTGTTAGCAAAAGACGACGGGAAAGAAGTGGTGAGTGGAGTATCAATCAACGTGCTATTGATCAGATGAAAGAAAAGTTCAGGTGAACATTTTTTTATTTAATGTAGCTGGTGCTAAAAAAATTTCTCAGAGTTTGTACCATGTTTTAAAAACTATTCCGATTAATATTATACAAATAAAAAAAAGAAATTAGCTTTATTTGTATTCTTCTAGATCGGAACAGGAAAGAAAACGAAGTAATAGTCAGAGTGATTCTTCATCTGGTAAAGGACCATCACATCAGCTTTGCTTAGGATTGGATGATATCGAAAAAGATGCATCTAATGGTGAGTTCCGTTTTCCCAACATCTGGAGACTTTTGAAAAGTTAATAAAGATGGTGTAGTCACTGTTGACGAAGCAAACAAGCAACAAGAATGATTTGAAGGACAAATAGTCGAAGGTATGAACTTCGGTAAAAGCTTCCTGTCATTTTATTTCGTAACTAATTCTGAAAAAATGAATTGTGAACTCGAGAGACTTTATATCCTCATATTTGATAAAATTAAAATTACTAATATCCAACACATTCTTCCTCTGTTGGATATTAGTGATTTTTGGCTAGTTTAACAGAAGCTACTTCATTCTACAGTTATGATTTTCTGCCAGTCATGTTCATCGGCTTTTAGAAGTGAAAGCCGTTTCTGGGAAACGGGACATTCAAACTTAGACTCAGATTGGACAACAATTCACAACTGTCTCTATACAAAATTTATATCCACAACTATAAATCTACCTGTCTAGGATATTTGGCTAAATAAATGATAGTAACCGAAATATAATTTCTTACCCCATAATTTTCTGATTTGGGATTTCCTATATGTTTTTTGCTTATTTTTAATTTAAGAAATTGCGTTAAGAAATCAACCAGGTCATCGTGTTCACACCTGTTGTTTTGACGAAAAAAAATGGTGCAAAATCAGTGCACATATCATTGTTCATTCCTCAACGAGATACTTTGATTAGAATGGAACAGATTTCATTATCTTTTTTCTTTACTTTTATTTTGCAGATGATGTCCAGCAATTTTTGGGTAGCAGAAATAAACGAGACTTCATGGATATCAATACAGCTCTTGGAATTGCTGATGAAGGAAATGTTGACATTCAAGATGATTTTATTATCGTTAGTCTATACTTCCCTTTTTTTGTTCCATCTTTATAAGCAACTTTTGTCTAGATTTTTCTTAATTTTCGGCCTACCGTTCTAAAAATATGTCCTTTGGACACAAGTAAGATTTTATTAATTCTTCCACACATCTATATCTACAAACCAGCATTTTTGATGCATCTTGAACATGTTTTACAAATGGGATTCTCAAATTCTGAATTATTTGCAGCCAGATGAAGATACAACAAATATTCGGTGGAATTTGAAATTTACGCTGCGCTCACATTTCGATAGCATTCGCGCCATGCAATTCCATCCCGTTGAACCGGTACTTATTACAGCTAGTGAAGATAGTACGGCGAAACTTTGGAATCTTGGCAGTAGCAATATAAAAATGGATTTGAAAGGAAGTATGTCCAGTTTTTCCGTTTATTCAGCTGTTCTCATCCGTTATGATTTATAATCTTCGAATGCAGCCGTTTATAAGGTATTATGAGATACAAATCGTTTTATGTAGCTTTTGCAAATTTATAGTTTGCTATATATTTCTTTTGCAGACCAAATCTCGGCACATTCACAGTCTACGGTTACCGAATTAGAGCCAATTTATACGTTCCGTGGACATAAGTATGTAATTCCATTTAAAATTTAATAGTACCTTATTTATTGCTGACCCACTCCTTGCCTAATAAACCGTTATCCAACTGTAACACTCGTTAAGATTTGATAATTTCTTTTCCAGTGGACCGATCCTTTCAATGGATATGTCACCAACGGGTGATATGTGTTACACTGGTGGTTTTGATGGTGTTGTATGTTGCTGGTCGGTACCATCAGTTAATACTGATATATATGAGCCATACGGTATGATTTTATTCCGTTTAAAATCTGTCGAAATTATGCTTTTAGGAAATTTGTGTCTTTTATCCAGCGAATCATGACTGTCATTATATAGCTCTTTTTGGAAGTATAAGAGATTTATGCCAGGCAGTTCTGCTCGGTCTATATTGTAAATGAGTCGTAAAAGCATGCTTGCAGATTCAAAAGTGTTATGTGAGAAATTGAAAGGTCATACCAGTGCAATTTGGTCGGTTGCGTTTCATTCATCCGATAATCGCCTCGTTAGTGCTTCTGCTGATGGAACTATCAAACTCTGGGAGCCAGGTAAGTTTTTTAAAAGACGTGGTCTGCATTTGTCGAGATGCCACACCAGCCTGACACTTCATGATAGTGAGATATGGGAGCAACTTGAAGTTGTCGATTTTTTGAATAAAAATATATTCCATAGATGATTTGACGGATATGCTACTTCCAGTGCATAAGATTTAATAAAGAGATAGCAAACTATTTATTGATGCATGTATGGTTAATAGTTAAATATGGAAGTACACGAGTAAATCTTAAGGAAATACGGATGCACTTATCAAATCATTTGGTGCTGCACTGCCAAATATTAAGCCAACATCAGTTGACTTTGTTTCAACTGAACCACAGCAACTGCTAGCAGCGTATACATTGTCATATGCTTCAATTATTGATATCGAAACCGGTTGCAATGTGTTATCATTCGATTTTGGTGATGGTATGTTTCTAGATCATTCGTGTCTATTACTTTTCTTTTTCTTTTTTGCTTTTGAATTAATTTTAGAACACTTTTGTTAGTTTCTAGTCTACAGAAATATTTCATAGATTTAGACAAAACGCTACCGGAATGAGGATTTCCTTGTACCAGAAAACCTTTTTTTTAAAAAAATTTCTACCCATCTTGAATATCAGCTAAAAATTTTTAGTTTTAAAAATATGTTCCACAACTGTTTTGGAAAAAATTAATGGAAATTTATAATATTCTGCAACTCTCCTTTTTAAAACAAAATTTAATTTCATGGACTATAATGTTTAGCTGTTTCAGAAGATGCTGGAACTATTACGAAAATTTTGTCACACCCAACGATGTCAGTATCCTTAACTGCTAGTAATGATCGCAAAATACGTTACTTCGATAACAATACCGGTATCAGGATTTCGCTTTTTTGGGAAAAATGGAAATTTTTGATTATCTTGAATATGAGTTGAAAATTTTTAGTCCTAAATCAAAATCGTTGCGTGACTGTTTTTTGCTTGTTGCTGATGACCGTTTTTCTGCCCGTTATTCTGGATTAGCGTAGAAACATCAGTTCATATTTCTAATGATTTGAAACTTTTTTTTGTGTACTTAAATGGATAAGGTGTTCATTAAAGGAGACGCAAATAAAAGTGGAAGGTCTATATTATTCATATCAGTTATTATACAGGCTAACTTTTGCTGGTGTGAAGTTTAATCTCTCAAATCGTGTTGCTTTTTTAGGCAAAATGATTCATGGAACTGTTGCACATGTTGAAGCAATTTCGTGTTTGGCCATTGATCCTAATGGACTTTATTTACTTTCCGGTAGTCACGATGGTTCGTTACGTCTTTGGAATATGGAAAAAAGGATTTGTTTGCAGGTGATTCATTTTTTATGGACTTAGGCTAGAAAAACTACCTAGTTTCCCTTCATTCCTTTTCATTGGAATAAATTAGCTTAATCCAGTTGGCTTTAACGTTCATATGCATAAATACAGGTATAGTTGTAAATGGCAAAAATATTAATCTGAAGACTGCTCCATTAAAGTAATATTTTTATTTTTAGGAGATTGCGGCCCACCGCAAGAAGTTCGATAGCGCTGTAATGACGGTTGCTTTTCATCCAAGCAGGCCTTTGATTGGTTCGGCTGGTGCCGATGCTCTTGCAAAAGTTTTTAGCTCCCAGAAATATTTGCATGGGAATAGTTTTGATTCTTAAAGTTTCGCTTCGTTTCGTTTTGTTTTTGTTTTTGTTTTTCATTTAGACTGCTATCCGTTGCAGAGTGTTTCGAATAAAAAGTTGTATGCTTCTTAAATGCTGTACTTTTCCTTATTTTTTGTTTTCATGTGTCTTTAAGGATTTTTCAATTTTTACTTTAATTGAATTCGAAACTGGTTTTCTAAACAGCCTCAGTTATAATTTGGGAAGTTTAAGAATTCCCCTGATTTGTAAAATTTTTCTACCGAATGATGGAATAGACGTGATATTGAATATTTTTATGCACAAGTCTTAGGGATTCTTTTCTTTTTGAGCTGGCTTTTAAATTTGCTTCATTTCATAACTTTTTGAACTCGGAATTTTATCTTATTGGTGCTCTTAAGTGAAGTAAGGAAGCTCTTTTTATTGTTGCATTTTGGTTTGACCGTATACCTATTTTATTTTATTTTTAATATATATATAGAAATTCTTGAATTAGCGCACCCTCATCGAACGTTTTCGTTGTGAGCACTGCATGCCTTTACCTTAATTATTTCATAGATGAAACGTTTATGTTTTCGAAGTAATTTTCATGAAAGTAGCGTTCACTCTCTATTATTGTA